TTGAGTCAGTCAGTTTTGCTTTATCTGCATTAACTTTGTTGATGATTATGTTTCCTGATGATCTTGTCGCAGTTCTCAAAATTAGTAAATTGCCAAAATTGATACATGCATGGCACATCAAAATTTCATGACTATTATTTGCATGATTTTTTCTGTTCCGAATTATAATAAAAGATTCCTAAGACCGGGGACCGGTGAAGACCACAATTGAAGGGTCTCGCTCGAAGCCCGACGCACACAACAAGAAGGGATTTTCTTTATTCAAATTTCAAATTTACTTAATTATTTTAAAACTCATTCATACCCTGTGTGACAGCCTGTCGGCTTTTCGGTCGCCAGAAGTGGCCTAACTGGAAAGAGTTCGACAGCGCGCGGGCGCCCTCGCTCACTCTTTTGCTTTTTTTTTCTTTTTCTTTTTTTTTTCTCCCACCCCCCTTTCGTGCACATGCTGGTTTTGACATTACGATTAGTGTGGTTCAAAGCGAGGTAGTCTCAAGCATGTAGCCAACGATCTGGGATAGGGGCTCAATGATTTGGGTCTTCTTGGAGCAGACCTACGGGCTGCAGGGCTCCCAATTGGTAGGTAGGTTCTGCAACTTCTCTTTCTCTTTTTTTCTTTCTCTCACCTCCTGGCCGTGCACACACTAGTCTTGACATCGGGTCAATGTGTTCCAAAGCGAGGTGGTCTCAAACATGTAGTCTACAATCTGGGATAGGTGCATTGTCAGTCGATCAGTTTCGCTTGTGCAATTGTTACCTACTACACTGGGTCTCTGGTCGAACCAAAGATTAAGAAGTTGCTGTATTTGTGATGTCGGAGGGATGGTGGGCGTCCCAGTGATGTCGGAGGGATGGTGGGTGTCCTAGTGATCCTAGACATGGCACGATATTAGCAGGAAGATCGTCTATTTGAGAGCGGGTGGGGGTGCAGTTCACTCTTCCTAAAGAGTGGCTGGTGGTGAATCCATGGATGGGAGAGCTTAGAGGGCGGGCAGCTGCAGCGAGTGTGCAAGGGAAGGGTTCTTTGCTTGTTATTCGTTGTGCTCCATTTTTCCCCAGTCAATAGCCTGACCTTTTTTTTTTTCTTTTTTTTTTTGAAAGATTCAGTCTCAGTCTATTACCGTCTTCCCTCGAACATAACGCACATGTGTTGTAAACGAGTACAATGCATGTGTTCTATTCGAACAGCCCTAATATTCAAATACAATACATATGCGTTCTATTTGAATCATTTTTTTTTTCAATAACTCGAATACAAAACATATGCATTATTTTCAGGGGAAGACGATAAGTGGAGTCTTACATCGGTCTTACTTTCAATCCTCACCGTTGGACACGGCAGCACAACTGATTGATCATCAGTTGTGCTCAACACACACGAAAGCTCAGACCTTGAGAAATGAACGGTCCTGGTTGTCCATGGGTTTCTGGACCCGGTCTGAATTCCAGACCAGGTTCAGGTACTCCAGTTCGAGAGGGGTTAGCGGAATCCTAAGCGATCCCTGGCTGTACCAGAGCTCGCTTTTGCCACGCCCACTTAAACTGCTCTCCAGTTGAAGTGAGCCTTGGGAAATGGTCCTTGTTGGCCAACATGCTTAATCCTACGAATGATGTCAAGGGGAAGATCCAACTGCTGTTCACCAGGCCCAGTCTGGACAAGTAGATGAATCTGCCCATGTGTGTGAAACTGCTGTTCACCATGCCCTGTCTGGACAAGTAGGATGAATCTGCCTATGTGTGTGAAACTGCTGTTCACCATGCCGTCTGGACAAGTAGATGAATCTGCATGTGTGTGAAACTGCTGTTCACCATGCCCTGTCTGGACAAGTAGATGAATCTGCCTAATATATGTGTGTGCAGTTCTTATCCAGCAAATAGCCATGCTGTCTTTCTGTCTGTCATCAACTACCATCACAGGTGATCATAACCTTTGCACCACTCGTCAAACTGCCTTGCTATGTTGGCATAACCTCCTCGTACACAGATCTCAACAAAGCTGGCGATGAGGAGTACGACACACAGCTGGATTCTGGTTGGGGCTCTGCTTGGGCCTTGTCACATGGCGAGAGCGGCGATCTTGATAGGTCCGCCTCTGTACAAGACGGCACAGCCCGTTCGGGGCAAGAACACCTGCTCGACCATGGCTTGCACAAGGTTTCTTTTTTCTTTTTCTTTTTTCTTTTTTTCTCTTTTTTTCTTTTTTTTTTCTTTTTTTCAACAGAGGGATCGAGCTGCTCAGCACAATTGGAACATTAGTCTCGTGCTTGCACAAGGTTTCTGCTCATCCACATGGGGGAAACAGCGGTGATGGTGTGCGGCACGTCCTCGTGTGCATGAACAAAGCACCTAGGGTTGTCCTCCTGCTGTGGACCCCACTCAAGTACTAAAGCATTGTCGGAGAACCACAATGGTCACAGAGAGCATGGTGGCCACTCAATCAACTGCAAGTGCTGGTACTGATGCTGCTGCTGCTGCTGCTACTGAGGCTACTAGAACGACTACTACTTACCCTAAGCGCAACTGCTGCTACGAGAACCTTTACTGCTGCTGCACCTGCTACTGCACCTGCTACTGGCCTGGTACTGCACCTGCTACTGCCGCTGCTACGTAGTGCTACTGCTATTGCCACCTTCTTCCCCCGAATACACCATACGGTCAGTTTAGCTGTATTTAGATTGAAAGATACCCCAAATACAGCTATAATGACCGTACGTTGTATGCGGGGGAAGAAGGTAGTGAAGGTAGTGCTACTGCTACGGCAACTGCAACTGCGACTGTGACTGCGACTGCCCCTGACCCTGCACCCGCACCTGCACCTGCACCTGCACCTGCGATTGTGGCTGCCACTGTTCAAAAGTGGAGATCCAGGTGTCGAGTAGACAAGGGAAGACTAGACACGTACGGGTTCTGAGTGGTCAAGGGTGGTACCTTGCAGGCTGCGGAGGACTTCTGTTGGAAGCAGCAGGATTGCCAGAGTGGTGACCTGAGCCGAGGGAGTAGCAATCTGAGTGGAGCACGCTTTATGTTAGCTCACTTGCAGGATCAGTGCTTTCATCTGAAAAGTTGGGCCTGGATAGTCGCCTTGGCAGCACGCAAAACAAGCCAGTGAAGAAGGCTGCAGTTATCATCAGCATGCAAGGGAGCATATCTCCGCCCAGTCTATCCCTGAGAAGAAGCTTTGAGCAGCAGCTGCAGCAGCAGTAGCAGTCAGGTAGATCACTCCTGTCACAATCACCTTTATTTGGATATCCTCCCATCCCTCAGGCATTTGCTCCATGCCGTGGACACCACTGAAGTTCTGAAGGCAAGGGCAAACATTCCCCATATGGAACTCAGGAGATGGTTTGCGACTCGTCCGATGGTTCTCCGGTGCATTCATCCAGAATGTCACATGATTTTTTTCTTTTGAAACTGATCAGAAGCTCAGAACAGATATCACACTTGATCTTACTCAGCCAAAAGGCCGAGAAAGGTATTGCACATTATGATATTGAAATTTCATATATGGCAATAAGAGAATCAAGTGGGCAAATGGGGTTGTAAGCATGAGGATATTGGATGGTCAATCTGAAGGCGCTGTCTTCCTCAGAAAACTTTCTCGAAGGAGCAGCAGCACTCCACAAGGTCCTCGCTATCATGGCAGTCACCTGTTCAACAGTCACGCCTCTCTTTCAAACATCCATCCCTTGTCACCAATATTGGAGGCCAAAAGGCCGAGAAAGGTATTGTCACATTATGATATTGAAATTTCATATATGGCAATAAGAGAAGCAAGCGGGCAAATGGGGGTGTAAGCATGAGGGTATTAGATGGTCAATCTGAAGGCGCTGTCTTCCTCAGAAAACTTTCTCAAAGGAGCAGCAGCACTCCACAAGGTCCTCGCTATCATGGCAGTCACCTGTTCGACAGTCACGCCTCTCTTTCAAACATCCATACCTTGTCACCGATATTGCCGGAGTCCTGACGAGGGTCTGAATGCAGCACCAGCAACAAAAGGCAGTGTTTGGGACTTTCCTGGATACCCTCTCTGTTATGAACTTGGTTGTCTGACGATTTTTACCGCCACTCACACACAGACAGTCTCATACATGCCCATACATGCATAAGAAAAGGGGGAGAGGAGACAGAGTCCAACTGCACACAGATCAGAGTAGATAGTGGAAGTTCAGCCATGCACAGATGGGGAGAGGACACTGCACGTTTCTCACTCTATGACAAACTGCCAACAACCAATCACAAGAAGAAACCTGCGAGGATAACAATTGGAATTCACACTGATGAAGTGCCAATTAAACCCAATATCGTTACAGAGTTTGTTCCAGTATCTCGCCACACTCAGAACCCCGCACTCCACTCTCTACCCTACACCCAGTTAGTAGCACACAACCGAAACAGCCTCCCAGAGGCCAGCGCCAACCACCCAGATGAAGAACAGATCCTGCGATGGAGTCTTCAGTGCCGATGGACAACTCTGACGAAGAAACAGGCAGCTATGGCTGCCGCCACCCACAAACACTCAGTGAAGAGCCTCGATATAGCCTGGCCAGACGCAGATACCCCCAGGGGTAGATGCGCTGAGGGCGCCCCAGCTCCGGCAACCTTCAGAAGGGCCAGCTATGGCTGCCGTCCCAGGCAAGGGTCTCAGGATGCCGCCTGCAGACAATTGCCACCGCCAACTTGCTTGGCTTCTCCAACCGCTGCTTCGCGAGAATGAACCGCCAAAAGTCCCGAACAGTCCTACCCCAACCTACCTGTAGATTCTACACTACCCTAGCCTAGGACCTACCGGTACCGTTTCAGTTAGGGCCTGCTTGGCCTCTACGAAATCGGTCCTACTGCTGCACTTAGGGCTCAAGGCCACTTAGGGCCCGTAACTACTCAGCCTCTACTGCTGTTAATTCAGGCTATTTTTAGAACAGCGGGCGGCCCTCAGTGCAACTAAAAAACACAGCAAAACACACAGCAAACACAGCACAGTCAGTCTCGGCAGTCAAAATCAGCAAGTCATTGCAGGTTTATCCCCCCGGGGAGCGAGGACCTCCGAGCTAGGGATGCAGACGAGGTGACCGGCGAGGAAGGTTGCCCTTCTGAGCCGCTTCATATCGCAGAACAACTGACTTCGTTGTCTTCAGAAGTTCCTTCCTGTAGAACCATCTGTTCTCAGTAGGAGGCTGGAAAGCGAACCTCACAAGATACTGCCGATCGGGGCATGTGCCCCACTCATCCTCAATCCATTCCACGTCATACCCCTTGCCAGGGATCGGTGGACCAAATTGAGGGGGTCGGTCTGGGAATGCATCAGTTGGAGTGAATGGAAGCAGCTTAGATGCATGGAAGACCGGATAGGTTCGTAGTTGCAGTGGGACATCGATGACATAGGATGGACCGAATGGATCAGCGCCCATTGTATCTAAGACCTGCCATGGACCCAAATAACGAGGCAACAGCTTGGGGGAGATATCCTCCTCCCTCGACAACTCAGAACTAGCTACCCAGACATAATCACAAGTGCGGATGGGGGAAGGCCGCCTGTGGCGATTAGCTTGTTCAATCATTGCCTTTTGGGCTTTGAACAAGTTCGCCCGTGCTCTTTCCACATCTATGCTATAGCGTCTGGTGAACTCTGCGGTGCCTGGTGTCAGGTCCGACTTAGCCTTGTCGATGATATCATCGAGAGGCTGTCGTGGTTCACGTCCCCAGTGCAACCGGTATGGACTGAACCCAGTCGAGGAATGGACAGACATGTTATAAACAAGTTGTGCTTGAGCCAAGTGGAGATCCCAGTCCTGCTGATCTGGAGAGATGACAGGACGCAGCAATTCGAATAAGACTTGGTTCATCACTTCAGCCTTACCATTGGCTTCAGGATGATGATCAGGTAATCCTTACAGTAGGACTGCCACTCATCGCTGCAAAATCGGGGGTCTCTATCACTGACTATAGAAGTGGGCAGTCCATGGTGTGTGACCCACCTCCCTGAAAAGGCTGCCCTCACAGTCGGGACTCTAGCTACCTCTGGTAAGGGGATGAACTCAGCGTATTTGGAAAACCTGTCCACACAGACCATTACCTGACACATGCAACGAGGGATGGTCTTGCCTAAATCTGTGAAGTCAATCGACACAGATTCAGCAGGGCCATCAAGTATGACATAGAATATAAATATTTGACTTTCGATAAATGTATCAATATGTACATAAATATTTATAAGTTCTTATATCAATCAACAATGTTCAGAGAAAAAAAAGAAGAGAGTCCCAGAGGAGGTCTACGTTGGACCTTGTTCCTTTGACAAAGCTCACAGGTTTCCACATAGCGCAGCATCTCACTCCGCATCTCCTTCGAGAAGAAGCGCTGCGACAGGGCTGCACGACTTTAAGAACCCAAAGTGTCCACGGGCATCATGACACTCTGACATCAACAGTGTCCTGAGCCGTTGATCCTGGGGAATGCACAAGCGTTCCTCACCTCTGCTGTAGGTATACGGCAAGTCTGAACCCAGGGCATAGTCGGGTTCAGCATTGGGATCCGCTTGCAGATTCCTCACTATGGGCCCAAAAATCGGGTCCTGAGGCAGAATACGAGCAATGGTCTGGCGGGTCTCCTCTCCAAAGGAGTGAGTAGAGGAGATCAGTGCAAAAGAATCAGGCCTACGAGAGAGGGCATCTGCTACTTTGTTGTAGCAGCCCTTCTTATGTTTCAGTTCAAAGTCAAACATGTCTATGAATTGAATATATTGTGCCAACTTATCGTTTAACTCTCCTTGGGACTTCATCCACTGTAAGGTGGAGTGATCTGAGAAGATCTTGAAGTGCTTCCAATGTTTTAGGGTACAGACACGAACATACAACTCTTTCTCGTAGGTAGAGTCCTGAAGCTTTTGAGTCTTGATCTTCTTACTCATGAACTCTACTGGCCGTAGACCATTCCTATCATCTTGCTGAAGAACTGCCCCAATGCCATACTGACTGGCATCAGTGGCCAGGATGAATGGCAAAGCGGGGTCCGACAACTTCAGCACTGGTGCACGAGTCAAGGCCTTCTTGAGTCGTGTGAAGGCCAACTGACAGGGAAGGGACAAAAAAAAAGGAGTGTCTTTCTTTGTTAGGTTGGTCAGGGGTGCAGCCACTGCAGAAAAGTTCCTGACAAACTTTCTGTAGTATGAGGCTAAACCCATGAAAGGACCTGACATCCCTCACTGTCTGTGGCTGGGGCCACTCCTGAATAGCAACTATCTTGGCTGCTTCAGGAGCCACGCCATCTCCAAAGATTACGTGACCCAGATAGATGACAGAGGGAACTCCAAAAGAGGACTTCTCTCTGTTAAACTTATACTGGCTGTCGCGTAACGACTGGAGAACTAGAGCCAAGTGCTCCGCATGTTCCCTGGCAGTTCGGCTGAATACCAGGATGTCATCCAGGTAGACAACCATGAACTTGTCCAGGTAAGGCCTGAAGATGCGGTGCATCTCAGTCTGGAAGGTACCTGGGGTGTTGCAAAGTCCGAATAGTCATAGCGTTGCAAAGTCCGAATGGCATGACCAGGAACTCGTAAGTACCGTACCTGGTCTTGAAGGCTGTCTTATAGACATCCTCCTCTGCCATCTCAATCCGGTGGTAGCCAGATTTGAGGTCAACTTTGCTGAACATTGTGCAGCCTTGCACCATATCCAGAAGGTCATCGATCCTAGGAAGTGGCTCTGTACTCTTCCTAGTGATCTTGTCGAGACCCCTGTAGTCGATGCACATTCTGAATTCTCCATTCCCTTTTTTCGAGACGAAGAGGACTCGTGCCCTAAATTCAGAAGTGCTCGGCCGTATCCAGCCTTTGCTGGTCGAGGTCTCAAGCTGTTTTCTGAGCTCCTCGAGCTCAGCAAGGGACATCCTGTAGATGCGGCCCTTGGGAGGGACCGCTCCAGGTAGTAGCTCAATGTGATGCTTGGTTGGCCGGTTGGGTAACCCAAAGGGCTCCTGCATCAAATCAACATACTGGTCCACAACCTGCTGTATCTCGGGAGGACAGGAAACAGAAGGAGCGTTTGTCTGCTTGACCAGAGCCAAGAACAGACGCTCATGGTCATACTGGCGCGAGAGAGCATAAAACTCCCTCGCTCTCAAACAGTAGCAACTGGTTTTAGGGTGGTGTTCAACAGCAATCATACATGGCTGATACACCCCCTGTCTATTAGGCAGTTCAACCTTTGGGATCTGCCAGTTGATCCTTGGGTTGACGACCTTTAGCCACTGCATAGAGAACACCAGGTCAAAGGGTAGACCAGGGAATATGTAGAAGTTCAGACTATGTTTGACTTGTCCAACACTATCGAAGGTAACAGGGATACCCCTGACCTTCTCCCTGATGGAGAGCACTGTGGAGTCACCTATTCTGACCAATAGAGGTTGCTGTAGCTACTGAACTTTCATACCCAGATACAGTTTCTTTACAACACTGGGAGACATGAAGTTCCTGGTGGCTCCACAATCCAACAACCCTTTGATACTGACGTTGTTGATCAGGGGCCGAAGTAGGATGAGATCAGACTTGCTTTTCTTTTGTTCCTTCAGATGAAGGAAGAAAGCAGCAAGTGATTGAAGCTCGTCCTGCCCTGGGTCCTGATCCGGGTCAGGATCCTCATAGCAAAAGGATGCTGCTCGTGCAGTCCCTAAACAATCACATGTAGTCTCAACTAAAACAGCTGCAGATTCATCTACCTGAGCAGATGAAGGTGCAACACTGGGGGGGACTGCAGTCCCCAGGGTCTGTTTCAGTTTTTTGACTGACCTGGGCCTGGCATGTAAGGGCAGTCCTTTAAAAAGTGCTGGCCCTCACACCTCAGGCAGACCCCTCTTTCCTTCCTTCTTCTCCACACCCCCTCTTGGATCTTGAGGTCATGACAGGGGAGAGTGGAGGGATTGAGTGGGTCAGCTGGCATATGGACGTCCTTTGGCAGATTTGGGCGCTGGGAGGAGTAAGGCCGACGTCCCTTGTCCTTCCCCTTTGCACTGGCTGAGGCTGTAGTGGGGGATAATCTTTTCTGCTGCTGCAGAACTCCCAGAACAGCCTGAGTCAGGGTCGCTGCAACATTTGTTTCAACAGTTGATCCAGTCCCAGCTGATGGCGTATCAGCCTGGGAGTCTGAAGCAGCAGCTGATGCAGACCCTGCATGTGCAAAGGTTGCCTTTCCCTTTCTACCACCACAAGGGAAGGCACCTTTCCTCCTGTCAGAGGAGGGGGCCTGGACATGAAGATTTACCTCCATGTCCAGGGTTGCACGACCAAAGGATCTCCAATCCTTGTGCCCAGCGATGTACAATGCAACAACAAACTTCTCAGGCGCTGCCCTGCAGAAGTTGGTCAACAGATCATCAGTGGACATGGCCAACCCAGGGGTAAAGGTAAGCTGCTCGAACTCTGCAAACAACGACTGCAAGGTACCGCTGTAGCGCTGCTGCCCCAAGCGAGCAATCTTGTCAGCAGCTTTGCAGGCCCGCTCCTTGTCTGCAAAGCGATCCTCTAGGGCCTGCAGAAGTTTGTCCACCCCCAGCCCAAAAGCCCAGTCCTCCATAGACTGCTGCTGACTGTTGGAGGTTGAGGTGGCCCACTTCAGAGCGGGTCCCTCCAGCAGTCCCAGAATCGTTGCCACCTTGGTCTGTTCTGCACAGACAAAGCCCCTCAAGTAGGCTTTGGTCCCGGCAGCCCAGTCCCCAACATCTGTCTTTGGGTCATCCCCTCTGAATTTGTTGGGAGATGAGATCTTGGGACCTCTCTGGTCTCCTGCAGCAGCGGACGCATAGGATGGTCGGGCTGTAGCTTTTGGGGAAGGAGGTGGTGAAGGGGAAGAATGATGTGAACCAGAGGGAGTTGAAGGAAAAGAAGGAGAAGGTTTAGGTTTCGCTGAGAGGGTAGGAGACTGGGGAACAATCAATTTGGCTGCTGTCAGCTGAGCAGTCAGATCCTGAATTGCTTTCAGAATCTTAGTACTTGATCCCACACTTATTAGTAGCAAAGTTTTTTGGAAAAAAAGGGGATCCCATATGGTTTCCCCAAATTCCGAGTCCGACGGCAGTGCAACAGAAAATGCCTGTTTCTACTCATGGAATTTTGTGTGTCGCCACCGCCTTGACCCGCGGCGCGAAGTTGGTAGGAAAAGGTAGGGAGCCCATGACCCCCTACCCTTCCCTCAAAAGTAGGCAAGTTTTCGGGTTTTTTTTTTTTTTTTTTTTTTTTTTTGTGAACGCGGTCTTTCTTTTGCACAAAGGGAGACAGGGTGTCTCCGCTGGACCCGTGCACAGCCATCGAAATTCGGCGACGCAATCGGGAAAGCGCCAAGAAGTCCGGGCTATGGGATCCCACTTTTTCCCTATAAAACGTTCGGCACTTCTCCTACTTTCAAGGGACTTTTACGACTTTTTGGTAAAAGTTCATAGTGGGATCAGCCTCTTAGATTGCTGAGCCGCCAGGTCATCCACCCTGCGCTCCAGACGGCCGATGCGGTCATCCCAATTAGTGAAATAAGAACTGGTGGCCTTGTGCTCCAGAAGGGCCCACTCCGCCAGATTCTTATTCACCTGGGAGCAGCGGTCATTTGTCAAAACCTTGCCTAGCTGCTCCAACAGGTACTCCCTTCTGAAAGTATCTGTTGCAGCCTCTAGCTCGGCTGCCTCCTGTCTCTCCAATTCTGCAAGCAGGGCCTGCTCCTGCTGCAGTCTTTCCTGCAATTCCTTTTTCTTTTGCTGAGTAGCAGTCAAAGGTGTTTCAGGGGTGGAGGTAAATGGGTCCTGCCCTTCTACCTTCATTACCACTTCCACCTGTGGCTGCTGTTGAGCACCCTGGTCCGCCATTTTCCACTTTCAATACAACAATAAATAATAGACAAGCAGGGGAGAAGATTTTCAGTTTCCTTCAGACTCTTAGAAATCGTTGTTGTCTCATGCACAGAGGTAGGTGGGTGGATAGGCAACAAACGGTTTGGGTTAGAATGGTTTCCCTGGGGTCAGGTGTCAGACAGACAGTTAGTCCAGTAAAATCAATCACATGATTTCCTTTTACTGACCCTGCACCACACTGGAGTTAGTAGACACAATCCACTACTCTTCCTGAGAAACACTAGATTTCCAAAGCCCACTAGAAAGCTAGAGCAATCGTGAGAATGAAAGAAGGTGGCAAGCACAGACAAGAATGATCAAACAAATAGAGCGATCCAGTCAAAAACCCTGAATCCTAACTCAGACTCAAATTTCGGCCCTGATGACTCTGGCGGCCATACCCTAGGGTATGGCGAAGTACAGTATTCACTGTTTCCAATGGAATACTGCAAATCCAATCAAGCGCTTCTGCAGCATTGCCTATTTTTGGATTGCGATTGACTGACAACTGACAGAATTGAATTTTGACGGACAAAATTGAAGTTATGACTAACCCTAGGTAGCACAGGCTATAATTAGACTCGGCGCAAAACTGCAATTCACAGTATCTCTACTTTTCCAGTGCAGAATTCACAGTCTGAGCATCCCAGATCAAGCGCAATACAGTAAAGCAGTCCCAGAACACTTTTGGATGAAAAAGAGTCAACAGAGGGTTAGAAATGAGCAGAGGAAGGTAGGAGAAGGATGGCTATGGCTGTCATGCAGTCTGCGATTTTCAATTCCAGTCACTGACAGACAGATGGACCTCAACACTAATCAATTTGACCCTATCTGAATCGCTATACAGGTAGGTGCATGGAACAGACTCGCTTTCAGAGCTTCTTGAAGGGTTGGGTGAAGATCTGGCTATGGCAGACTGATACCCTCATCTTGCCAGTTTCTTCCAGAGCTTCCTCCTCTGTCTTCCACACACAGAACCACTTCAAACTTGTTGATCCTCTTCAGGATCCTGAAGCACTGCAGCCCTTTTGCCAGATTCCCTGAATCTGACCCTGTGGCACTCAGAAGCCAACAGGAAATTATCTCACCACAGGTCCCCTTAGCCGCTGATGCTATAATTAGCCTCAGATGAGGTTAATTCCTGCTGCGATTGACAAAGACTGTCAATCTCCCTTAGTGCTGCTCAAGGATGAAGCCGCTCAGAGATCCCTGAAGTCCTCAGGGGTAATTCGCCACTCTGAGGCAATTCGCTATCATGCCCTCAGGGTTGGCTATGGCGAATTAGCCCTGTTCTCGCCACTTCCTTGCAAGCGCCCTGACAGGCTCAGTGCGCTTGTTCAGTGCAACCACTGAACTTTTGAATTCACCGCTTGAGATCTTTTTCCCTGCTGACTCAATACTGGGGAAGATGAATCGCCAGGAATCTCTCACCAATATATCGCCAGATGAAGAAGATGCTCCAGTTGCACTCAACCCTCAGTGCTCCAATTTCAATCCCGCTTCGACACCAACTGTTATGAACTTGGTTGTCTTACGATTTTTACCGCCACTCACACACAGATAGTCTCATACATGCCCATACATGCATAAGAAAAGGGGGAGAGGAGACAGAGTCCAACTGCACACAGATCAGAGTAGATAGCGGAAGTTCAGCCATGCAAAGATGGGGAGAGGACACTTCGTGTTTCTCACTCTCTGACAAACTCCCAACAACCAATCACAAGAAGAAACCTGCAAGGATAACAATTGGAATTCACACTGATGAAGAGCCAATTAAACCCAATATCGTGACAGAGTTTGTTCCAGTATCTCGCCACACTCAGAACCCCACACTCCACTCTCTACCCTATACTCAGTTAGTAGCGCACAACCGAAACAGCCTCCCAATGGCCAGCGCCAACCACCCAGATGAAGAACAGATCCTGCGATGGAGTCTTCAGTGTCGATGGACAACTCTGACGAAGAAACTGGCAGCTATGGCTGCCGCCACCAACAAACAATCAGTGAAGAGCCACGATATAGCCTGGTCAGACGCAGATACCCCCAGGGGTAGATGCGCTGAGGGTGCCCCAGCTCCGACAACCTTCAAAAGGGCCAGCTATGGCTATCGTCCTAGGCAAGGGTCTCAGGATGCTGCCTGCAGACAATTGTCACCGCCAACTTGCTTGGCTTCTCCAACCGCTGCTTCGCGAGAATGAACCGCCAAAAGTCCCGAACAGTCCTACCCCAACCTACTTGTAGATTCTACACTACCCTAGCCTAGGACCTACCAGTACCGTTTCAGTTAGGGCATGCTTGGCCTCTACCGAATCGGTCCTACTGCTGCACTTAGGGCTCAAGGCCACTTAGGGCCGATAACTACTCAGCCTCTACTGCTGTTAATTCAGGCTATTTTTAGAACAGCGGGTGGCCCTCAATGCAACTGAAAAACACAGCAAAACACACAGCAAAACACACAGCAAACACAGCAGTGCACTGTACAGCCTCGCAATCAATCTCGGCAGTCAAAATCAGCAAGTCACTGCATCTCTGTGGTTGTCTGACCGGTCAGATCCTGAAGAATCTGACAGTAGTCAGCACAACAGGAAGGCTGCATGCTTGAACAGGATGGTATCAAATGGGTCTGAGGCTGGTCGATTCTTGAGAAAGACATCGCAGGGACAGCAACTGGAAATAAGGTCGTCTCTATCACAATTGCCGACATGTGAATATCCTATGGTCTTTCAGCGAGCTGCTGCATGCAACGAATTGAGTCAGGGTTCTGACACAAACAGATGTTCCCCCATTCGAAGCCGGAGGTGATGTTCTGCACTCGTCACAGGATTCTGATGAAGATGGGAAGCAATGCGAGATGTCTCCCTCCAGCCAATAGAGGGGATGCATGTTGCCCCTCGCCCCAACCGTGGTGGTCAAGGATGGCGTGGCGCCGCCGCCGGTGGGGGTCTGGCTAATGCAAAGACCGAACATTTTGCCAGTAACTGCGCTTCCTTTTTCATCGTCCCGCACCCCCAACCAAATAATTTGGTAAAGAATTTCGATGTGACTCTGAGGCGAAAGTTGTTCAGTTTATTTTTCTGCGTAGCATAATTCTTGTTCAGATTTTTTGAATTTTTGTTTCCCCCCCTCTTTTGCTGGGACATTCTTTGGTCCTTGCACTGTCGGGTCACCCAGGCAAACAAGGTGACCCGGGTGGCCTGGCTGGTAGCCTAGGTCAACATCCAATACAATATGTATGCTGCGCGTAATGAATGGTTGTCTGAACAAGATGCGAAGATCTTGTTTGGAAAAGACTGTCAGGAATTCCTTTCTGGAAAAAGAAGGCAAATAGCAAAGAATATACGAACATAGTGGGGTCCCGACATTGATGTCGAGAACCAAATCTAAATGTGGTGTATTCCATAACGAGGGCAGGAATCTCGTAACCTATGTCACCACCGTCTTCACCCGAATAGAACGCACAGTCATTGTCGCCGCATCTGGACCAAAAGTTGTGCCAAATACAGCTTTAACGACTGCGGGTTCTAAATGTGGTTCGGGAACGGAAGCTAAACGTGGTTTCTTCCAAAATGAGGGCAGGAATCTCGTGACCTATGTCGCTAACGTCGTCACCCGAACAAAACGCCCGGTCATTATCACCGCATGTGGACAGAAAGTTGTGCCAAATACAACTATAATGACTTGGCACTCTGTTCGGGTGAAGACAGTAGCACAAATGAGGTGGCCACACGGCTGCTAAAAAAACACAGTCAGATGGGGCAAATA